CTGCCAGCAGCCACCGGATTGGTTCCATTCGGCCTCGTCCATTGAAGTAGTGCAGCTTGGGTTTCCCAGACATGTTTCCACGTGCCTGATAGTTTCTTCCTATTTGGAATAAAAAAATAAATTTTGCAAAATAAAGATTCAGAATGCTGGAATTGAGTCTCTCATTGGCTCCCAAGGTGTCCTGTTTGAAACCAATGATTTATAGTTCAAGACTTTGGACTTACTAAAGGAGGTAGAGGTTAGAGTACATTGAGAGACTGCATTGTATCACCTTGCCTTAAAAATGTCTTTTATTCATGCAGGTTCATTAAGCAGAACACGTGTACTAAGAAGCATTGGCCCACTTCAGAGAACAAGCAAACCAAAACCATTTGCATCCAAAGTGTTCTGCTCTGAGCAAAAAGCAGACTGTGCTTTCTGTTTATTTTGGGATTATCTCAGCGTACAGTTTACTGTTTAATCAGATACACAATATTAACTCAGCAATTGCTGTGCTTTCACCAGCAGCCATTATGCTCCATTATAAACAGGAAGGAAGGAATATTTTTCCCTCTTGTAAGCATTCAATCTCTTTTACAACACTCCCTGTTCCGGTAATTCCTTTAGACAAGCCTCCGAAGATATAGAAATTACAGATCTGCCTTTACCACAGACAGAGCCAAAGGGCAATGCCTGTTTGGTACAATTCCAGCTGTGCTGGAATATAAGGCAGTAACAGTTTCTAGGCAGATCACGTGAGCACAGCAGCAGCAAACATGCAGACGGCCCCTGGTTTACACCACTCTCACAGTTATTAACACTGTCTCAACAATAAAGCTAAAGCATTAGCAGCAGCAAAGGGAAAATGGCTAAAACCCCACCACGTTCCCCTTTTAAATAACATAGCAGCTTCTCTACAATAGGAAGAAGGAGATAAGAGAAAATACTCCATACTTCTGAGATCTACATTTCTTTTTCTTCATTCTGTACACCTAGGAAGCAGCTGACTAATATTTTAACATTTCATGCATATAACCTTCACGTTAGTAAAGAAAGTACAAGCAATCTGTAAAACCCATTCACTGACTTCGTTTCAAATACAATAATTCCCTATGCTTGCCGAAAATCCAAAAAACTTACCTTGTGCACACTATAACTCACTGTAAGCTCTCAGCTGACGGGGGGAGAGCTGTAACCCCCCTTATGCAAGACGCAGGAAGGTTCACTCTGCACACAAACACGGCGTGACGCAGAATAAACATTTATTCAACGTGGACGCCAGCCTTTATAGGGAGAGCAGAGACTTTTAAGGAACAAAGGGAGGAGACTGGGAGGAGTATTCCAGAAGTGGCAAATCACAGCAACAAGGGGTGGAACTGTCTGAACATGGACAAATGGGAAACTGCCTGTGGGGAGGACACGTGACGCAGGGAAGGAGGAATCAGGAAAGGGCTTACATTGAACCAATAGGAAAAAGGGTAACAGGGTTACAGTGTAGGGCACAACACATTTTTTGAAGAAAATATATTATACTAATATTAAAATAATTGCACAACGCAGTAAAGGCACGGTGAAACAAACACTCTCACAGTTCCGACAACCACACTCAGCGCGCCACGGCGTAAGTACATTCTGATATTTTTTTCTTCCTCTTCTTCTGCTGATTTCTTTTCATTAACTTCTGTCCACCACTCATAAGTCTCCATCGGAGCACTCCCAACACTCAGTACCTTTGCCTGGAGATTCTATAGGTCAGTAGCCCCTCCCACAAAGAGAATTGCAAGTGGTTTTCTGGGAATGGGAAACTCCTCTCTCTTAAGGAAGTAAAATCAATTAGGTCTGTTTAGTTACTTCTCATCGACAAAAAATAAATTCCGGACTAATTCTGACTATGAGAGGTCATGATGAATGGGAACATCTGTTCCAGCACACAATGCTTCCTCTTTTCACTGCTT